ATACATACATACATACTATACATATATATATATATATATATATATATATATATATATATACATATACATATATATATATACATTTATATATATATAGATATAGATACATACACATATACCCATATATACGAAGTTATGGGACGTGTATAAAAACCTGGCTTGATAGGAATAGAGTTCTAAATACAAACATTTTAGTAGAGAATACCCTGCACCAATCCTCTTTTGAAGGAGCTAAATATATTGTAGAAGTTATCGCACAGGGTGTCCGAAAAGGTGAAATGTTGTACAAATGTTTGAGCATGCATAAGATTACATGACTTTTAAAAGGCGATATTTTCCAGTCGTGTGGACTAATTTAATTCTCTATAGATCGAATCTATTTAACAAATATTCTATATTACTTGCGAAATCGCTCTACGCAACAACGAACAATAAACATCTCATAGGCAGATATTATATGAAGCATCCTGCCCCCGTTAGGTACTCAATGAAGATACTGTATTGGATGAGGAAAATGAGTCATAGACGTGCAAATGCGAACGAACCTTGCATTGAGAATGCACAAGATGGCAATGCCCGCGACATTTCCGCATTCGGTTTGCCGTACTCTCTCCGTCGAAAATGCTGTTACTACCATCGATCTTGTCGCATTTACGTTCATCAATATTTTCATATTTATATACAACGATAGCAGGTATAGGGTATAGGGTATAGGTTGATATATACGTACAAACATACATCACACACACACACACACACACACACACATATATATATGTAATATATATCATTTTGGTGTATAGATTATTCTGTACACCCACACATGAGGTTGCACGATGAGTTCCCATTATGCAGAATTTGAATAGGGTGGTGTGCATACCTTGAAAGCATCCATGAATATATCTGAGTTCGTAAACCTTCCTGGGCATCTCTGCACTATTTTACCGATGACGTATAACCTGCCCGTGTGCAAATCATATTGAGCGGTGTCAGTCTCGCACACAGAAGTAGACACCAAATGAAAGGGTTGTAATTAGCAGAGGGATGCATTAAAATACACAAACACACAGACACCGACACCGACACAGACGCAGACGCAGACACAGACACCGACACAAACACAGCCGCAGACACCGATACCGACACATACGCAGACACAGACACAGACACAAACACATACACCACGCAGACATAGACACAGACACAGACACAGACACAGACACAGACGCAGACACAGACATACACACAGATACAGTCACAGACACAGACACAGCCACAGACACCGACACAGACATAGACACAGACACAGACACAGACATAAACACAGATACAGACACAGACACGACACAAACACAGACACAGACATATATACTATGAGCCAAGCTGCAGGTCTATAAGCTTGAATTTAAATATAATATTTGCATGTAGATATGTCCGCATGTCGGCTAACATAACAAATACAACATATTCACTTACCCTCCATACGTCAACAATTTGGGTGCCGCACACCCAGCCTCGGCCCCATATGTGGGCACGAAAGCGTCGAGTGGTGCTGTATATACACTCTCAGTACACACCCATCAAGGCACATCAAAGACACAGCGAATGTTCAAGACACAGAGGACATTCACGACATGGAGAATAACCGCACATCCACTCACACCCACACCTACGTACCCGCCATAGGGTAACCACTTGAGCGCCGCACACCCCGCCTCGGCCCCATATGTGGACACGAGGATGTCTAGAGCTGTGTTGCTGACGCTGTCTGTGTCCACCTGGCTCATAATGCTCTCGGAGCGCTTGGCGATGTTCACGTGCTGGTCCCGTCCCACCAGCTTGCGCACCTGAGTGGGGGGGGGAAAGGTAAGAGCATCAGACGAGGATACGGTGACTTAGAGATAGATAGCTCAGAGGAGTGTGATTGGAGACACATGAGCGTCCTGTTTTGGTTTGGGAGAGATCAAACTAGATGTATAGTAGCTGGTCCCCTCCAAAGTTTCTACTACTCAGGATAGCAACCAGGCACTTGCGTATGTGTTGTACGTGGGTGTGAAAGAGGGCAGAGTATCAGACTATGGCGAGGTGGTCTAAAAATAGATCGGGTCGCCGATGACAGACACAGGAGTGTTATATTAATAGTAGTCAGCAGTGTTTTATAAATAGAAGTCGGCAAGCACTTTAATACGTACACCACGATCTCTGCTGATGGCCAGTCAAAACCGATATCGTGTATCTGCCACACGTCGATGTAAAATGCCAAATGCATGCACGGAATATGAGTACACGCTCCTTAATTGCGCACAGAAAGGTGTGCTGGTCTACAAGCGAGCTGTGTGGCGCTGGGCACGTTCGGTCACTTGCTAACATGCACTCAGATATGTGAATGTTTGAATCGCATTCAATTGAATTCCTATCGTTTACATTTGCACATGGCACATAGGTGGTGATTGTATATATCGGTGACTTGCTAACATGTACACGTGCATATGCTATATGAGTGGTGATTGTATATATCGGTGCCTATTGCTAGCATGTACAGATGCACATGGTACACGAGTGGGTGTTTGTATGTAACCGTGTCTATTGCTAACATGCACCCAAATTTTTAGATGTTTGTACCGTATTCAATAGTAGTCCCATCGTTGCACATGCACAAATCACATGAACCCGATGGTATCAATAACAAACCGCACACAGGTGTTGTCATCAGTTCTGACTGTGAGTCGGCTTAGACAAGTACTCAAATACATCCGCCAGACATCGCAAACATACAGCAAATATGCACAAGGGGAAAGGCAAAAAGCTATACCACGACGAAACATAATTGAATAAAAATCCATCCTACTTGTAATAGGAACCAAAATTAAACAAAACTCCACCACACTTGTAATAGATTACACTCACTGCTTGAAGATGGTACGTGGACTCAATTACAGGTAGGTGCACTCCTAAACTATACTCCTCCGGTATCACACTATGATACACCTTACAAATTCACGCCATCTATAAAATCACACGACTATTTTAAACAACACCTCAGACCGTTAACTTTTACCTTCCCTTGGTATATATACCTCAACGACCTCGTGCAGTGCACATGATTTCAGAGTGTGGCAAACGGGTTGTGGGACATACCTCGGGGGTGGCATGGCGTTTAGCATGACGCGTTAAAAACTCGTACACGTTCACCAGTCCCTTCAGTGACACAATGCGCTCGACACTGACACGGAAGTCCTCGTTGTATTTGCTTTTTAGAAATTGGAGCAGCTCCACTTCCTGAAACGCTCCCCAGAATACAGAATCGGGATATGAAAAAGTGGGCAATTGCCATGGGGGGGATTATCTGACGATACAACTGGGCTTTGTGAATGGTTAATGGTAGGTAAAGTTATGAAAGGTAAATGATAGCTGTAGGCATGGTTGGTAAATGGTAGATAAAGTTATGAAATTGAAATGATAGTTACAGGTATGGATGATAAATGGTAGATAAAGTTATGAAATTTAAATGATAGGTACAGGTATGGATGGTAATTGGTAGATAAAGTTATACAATTTAAATGATAGGTATAGGTATGGATGGTAAATGGTAGATAAATTTATGAAAGGTAAATGATAGTTACAGGTATGAATGGTAAATGGTAGATAAAGTTATTAAATTTAAATGATGGGTATAGGTATGGGTGGTAAATGGTAGATAAAGTTATGAAATTGAAATGATAGTTTTAGGTATGAATGGTAAATGGTAGATAAAGTCATGAAATTGAAATGATAGTTATATGCATGGATGGTACATGGTGGATAAAGTTATGAAATTGAAATGATAGTAATAGGTATGGATGGCAAATGGTAGTTACAGTTATGGATGATAGTGCGCGAGAATGATCCGGATCAAACATACAACCCACAGCACCCCCTATTTTTTAATATATACTTCATGCAAGAAAGTGAATAGTTTTAGGCTCATACACCATCAAATAAAATTAGGAAAAAAAAACCAAACCAGGTCTGTAAATCGCACATATTTACAGGGGCCAGTGGGCGCCACTGTGTATTTCTCATACGAAAAGCTATCTATTGCATAGGTCGCTAAACTGCTACTAAAAACAGCACAAGCTATAAATAGCACAATCTACCTACCTGTTCTGTGCGGGGCGCGAACTCGCAGTGACCGCCTTCGCTGGGCCACACGGTGTATTCCTCGTTGTCTGAAGTGGTCAGATAGCATTGGCCTAGACCCGTACCTGCACCCAGTACACAAATAGGTGCACCCGCAATGGGCTTAGCATCTTGGATGGTGGTGCATTCGCTCGCCGCTAGCGTGAGTACACTATAGCCGGCTGTGGGAAATAACAGTTCACAAGAGACAACAAAAAGTTAAGTGATAAGAAATAAGTAATTAGTAAGAGTATAAGTAGTTAGTAAGAGTATAAGTAATTAGTAAGAGTAAGAGTAATATATATATTTATAACATACATACGTACATACATTTATTAATATATATATATATATATATATACATACGTATATATATATATATATATATATATATATATATATATATAGTTAGTAAGTAGTA